AAATTAGAAAATTTTTGTAATAACATCGTTGTAAAGTATCCGAACCTTATTTTTGATGCTGATGATTTTACTTCCCTTGAAGAATCTGCATTAGTGTCTCTTCTCAAACGAGATGATTTACAAATGAAAGAAGCTAAAACTTGGGATTATGTCATCAAGTGGGGAATTGCTCAAACTTCTTCTCTTCCTACAAACCTTGAAAAATGGACCACGGAAAACTTTCTTACATTAAAGACTACTCTACAAAAATGTCTACCTCATATTCGTTATTTTCACCTTTCAAGTATTGAAGTAGTTGATAAAATTAAACCTTACAAAAAAATTATTGACAAACAACTTTGGGAAGATATAAAGCAGCATTTATTAATTCCTGACCGACCAGTAAAATCAATTATTTTGCCACCAAGATCAATTTTGGTTACAGAATTACCTCCTCGCGTAGAAGAATCAAAAGAATCTTTTTCGACTATCATTTCTGAAGAGCATGCTGCAGAAATTTCTACATGGATTGATCGTAAGACAACTACATATACTTTAACAAATATTCCATATAAATTTGAATTGATTTTACGTGGAACTTGTGATGGATTTGCACCACAAACATTTTGGAATATCTGCCATGGTCACGCTTGTACGGTTGTTTTATTAAAAGTTGCAGGGACAGATGAAATTATTGGAGGTTATAATCCTTTAAAATGGGATAATAGTAATATTAAAGGCAAATGGATAGAAACTAAAGATAGTTTTATTTTCTCATTAAAAAATGGTAATATTCCAAATTCAATTCTTAGTAGAGTAAAACAACCCCAATATGCAATTAATAATATAGCTAAAAGTGGACAAAAATATTATGGCCCATATTTTGGTGATGATTTTTGGATGTATAGCTATGAATCTAATTTCACTTTAGATAATGGTTGTTTCTGTAGAAGTTATGACTATAATTATGAAAAACCTATAAGATCGTCGGAATACTTTTCAATCATCGATTATGAAGTATTTAAGATTTTTAAGAAAACTAGTTAAAAACTATATTAATATTTCTTTTTAGTATTATAGTTATACATATGTATTTATTACTTATATTTTAACAAATTATGAATTTTTTTTTTTTTATATTTTTCCTAATTAAACTGAAATAGAACTAAAATCATTATTTTTATATTTTATTTTCTTATTAAAATATTGGTTTCAGTTCTGAAAATTATGTGTACGTGCAATCTCTATCAAAATTCATGATTGTTATCTTTAAGTGATTCATATGCAATAAATAATAACTGCTGAAAATACAAAATTCAAATTATAATTTATATTAAATATCCAAAAAATTCATAAATGTTGCTTTAAATAAAACAAATAATAAAAATAATTTCTGAAATTTTTATGGATTTATGAAAATATTCTAAAATGCATTTTGATAGTGTTTCGAAAGAATAAAAAAGTAATCTAATCTAATTATAAACAACGCCACTACAAATTTTTAATGATAGTCGATTCTTCAATTTTTCGGACTTTATATTACATTTAGCATAAACTTAGTATGTATAAGCATTGTCTATATTATATTAGTTAGAAGTTTAATGTTAATATTATTAGGCGAACGTGTTTATTATCTTTTGGAAAGCGATGTGATATATTACTAAATAATTTTTATTTTTTGTCTTGTTTAAAATCAGAATTAAACAAGTCTTGATTGTTTTGGAAGTGATGCAGATTTTATTACAATTATTATAAGTTTTAATTATAAACAATCAGAGAAAATGGTATAATGAAACAAAGGATATATAATTTTATTCACTACTTTTACCGAAATAATATTGAATTGTAGTCATTCGTTTTTTCATTTCGAAAACAAAAAAAAAATTAATTATGAATTAGTTTTGAATTTGTATAAAAAAGAATGAATTTTATTTAAGACCTTATATTGAGGCGCATGAATTCCACATGGGGTGTGAACGGGATTTCGAAATGTTGTGAAATTTCACGGGAGATGACAGTAAGATGACAGTGTTACCAGGATGACGGATTATTCATCTTTTTGCGAAGTATTTCATCTTTGTACGTTATCTTTAATCCTTGTGTGTCATCTTCCAAGAATAGGAAAAAACGTGTCTAGACGCAACAACAAAGGATGAAAGAAAACAAGTTCAAAAATATATAGAATAACTGGTAATTTGGGGTAAGAAAAAAATGGAGGAGATCGGCTTTTACTAGGATTTTATACTTTATAACATTTTAATAAATTTCGGAGATTTACGAACATTTTTATAAAAAAAATAATAATAATAGTAATAATAATAATTCCTTAAATAAATAAAATATTCTGTAATAATTCGAAAACTTAATAAAACTTTATTTCGTGATAAACGGTAATATTGGTGAGAAACGGTTAACAGCCCGTAATACCTCTATTACTAATTTTTGTAATAAATTTGATAAACTATTTAATTTCTTGATTAAAGTTGCTGCATAAAGTTAAAACCTAAGATTCGAAAGTTTGCGGAACAAGTCAGTAAAGATACTTTTACTCCACTTGCTCACGTTCCTTCAGATCACGCCAGTGTGTGTAATTGTGTGAGAATATCTGTAGTACTTGACCGGCGTAATCAGGTTGTAGTCTGACTGGGATAGTATACAGTTGCGAAATATTACGTACGACCTGCGAAATTAGGTAGGGAAACCTAACAGGAAGTATTATTTACGCACGTTGTTAACAATAAAGAATAGTAGATAAATAAAAGTAATAAAGTAAATAATTTACCTAAAATTCCACCCATAGAATGTCCAAATAAACAAACCAAAACTTGTCCACTATCGTTATAATAATCAAATTTTATTCATTCATAAAATCATTTGTCACCACTTTAAAATCACCTTTAGTATTATAAGTTGGATAACTATTTGATTCTATATTTAAATTTCCTTTAAGAAATATTGTAAATATTCTGGAAGTTCCTATTAATATTTTATTTTCAAGTGAAGGAGATGAAATAAGATTAAAACAAAATTAATCAAGACGTTAAATAATGCAAAGACATTATACCTCAAGACATATACCACCCCTTTAAATCATGAATAAATAAGGTATAATTTATTTTTTTACCATTGACATTCTAATTATTTATTCGAGAAATGTTATTTATTGAAGTCGAAGTTAAGATAAGAATGTATAAAGGATTATAATAAAAAAAAACAGAGAAATAAATCAAAATAAAATAAAATAAAATAAAGTAAGATAAAATAAAAGTAAAATAAAGAGAATTAGCGCTTTAAAAAATACCCGAATATATGGCAAACTATGGTAGCCCAAACATGACAGGAGTCTGAGTTAAATCACACATACAACTGAGTAAAAAACATGGATGTACAACAACAATAATGACTTTTTTTTCACACGTAGCTATTATATAAAATCATGCACGAAGTTTGCGAACTAGCCGAATTTAAGTTTGGCGAAATTATTGACCTGGAAAAGTGGTCAAATATTGAAACCATTCTTAATTGTCCTAAAACAACTATTTGCAAAAACAAACCACAACTGCCTGGTAAACCACCTAACTTGAATAAGAGAAATATTAGACAATCTTGTAAAAATAGTAAAAGAAGACCGCAAACAATCCTTAGATAAAATATTTAATTAATTATCAATAGTTTCAGTATGTTCTAATTCTATGTGCTTTACACAATGAAGGTTTATATAGTCAAGCACGAAAAAGAATAACTTTGTTATTCGAAAAAATATTAAAATGGTGTTGTACTAGAAAAGATTAAGGATTCTGAATGGAATACAATAATTTAGAGCAATGAATCTCACTTTTGATTATTTCAAAAATGATTCCACCATTGGATCTGATGTCGTTGTCACGTCTGGACAGCACACTACAGAATTACACAACAAATCAAGTTTCCCAGTCTCAATAATAACTTACACTTCTTCGTGTATCGCTATACAGTGTAACAACTTAAATAAAAACTATAAAATCGTGAGTATAATCTGAAAGGTGTGTGAGTAAGTGAAGTAGAGGTAATTTTCCCTACGTATACTATCGGTGTTAGAACAGATTTATAAGAGATAAAATGTTTATTTACGATTGAACAGTAAAAGAAAATTTTATTAGAAGTTGGGCAACAAAATATTACAACGGCATGTTTCTATTCTGTCACTACTTCTAACATTTATTTTATAATTATTGCTATGTTTATCGCTATTTGTAAATGTTATTATTATTTAATTAATAAAGGAAAAGATAAAAATAAAAGATTAAAGTGTTATTAATTTCTTTTGAAAAATGCTGCAAAAAGGAACTCCCTTTTCTTTCTTTTACTACTGCTACTTTTATATTTCTCTCTCATCATTTTTTTCTTCCTTCCATCATTCTCATCATCATCATTCTCATCATCGTGCAACTCCCTCATTCTCATCATTTGTACTTCATCATTCTCATCATTTGTGTTCCCACACCACATGTTTTCTGCACTGCCATCTTCGTCACCACAATAAATTGGACCATTAAAACCATTTTTTTCAATTTTTTGTTTAATATCATTATTATTCTAGTATTTTGAAATAATTCGAGCATCTTAAATAAATTTATCTAGTTTTGTATTATTTCCACTTGTTTATTTATAGAAATCATTCCTGAAATGAACCTAAAAGTAGTATTATATCCTTAGCCTATAGTATGTAAGAATTTACGTTTATATAAAAATTGCTTTGATATTATACCCTATATAATTGTCACATTGCATCACACCCAGAATATCAATTTTTATTATATATATATTTTTAAAACTTTACAGTATTTGTCACAGATAATTTTTCACATTGTTGTCACCTGATTCCTCATATTACTATAGGGAGTGAGCAATCACCCTAGTATAACAATTCACGAAATATATATATTTTTTAAACTATGTTTAGAAATAATGAAAATCTAATTATTTACACCTTCGAAACAACTTGTGTCCCATGATTATTAATGATCTAATTTACATTCTGCTGCATATGAGGAGCAATGCACCTGTGAAAAGCAAAAATTAATCGATAATAGCGATGAACGTTACTGTACATTCATCATATCTAACGCAATTCAATGAATTTGTTCCTGCGGGTTACTAAAAGTATAATTAGTTTTTTAAATACTACTCTAGAGATTATGACCATTAAGAAACTCGATTTAATAATATAAAATATTATAATATCATCCATAGTAAAGAATGATCATTACTTAAATTTTTAAATTTATACGATGACAACACGTTTGCATTATTTGTACAGAATTAATAAGTATTTTTTTTTTTTTGGAAAATACGCTTCAAGGTTATTAATAATATCTTTCCACTCAATATCCCCAATGAATAAGTATTGGTCTACAATTGTGTAGATCATTTCTGTATAATACAAAAAAATAGTTCTATAAAGAGAAAAATTCACCAAAAAATCTTATTTGTGTTCCTTTATCTAACAAGCTACCGTGCTTGTAATTAAACCATAAATATTTAAAATCATCTATAGCTTGTTAGATTCATTTCATTAAAATAAATCAAATAATGTAAATTTCAATTTTGATAGTGACTTGTCTATTTACTTTACATTTTAAAATATTTGTATTTGTTTATAAAAGAACCAAATCAATATGATTATATAATTTTTGATTTTTATTTAATAGATTATTAAGTATAAATGAACTTCGATATAATAAAATATAAAATAATCTTATTGACTTTGAAAACTTCATAATCAATAATTAGAAATTTTCATTTTTTTTCTAATTGGTTTTTCATAATTATCATGACAATAAGACGCAGTTTCATTATCTATAATAAAATCAGATTGAAAATTTCACAAATAAGGACTTCCTCCAAAATTAAGACCAATTTGATTGGTTTTGCCATATAAATAAAGTGCATTTTCAGGTTTTTTTTTTTTACTCTGAATTTGAATATTTTCGTTTTTCAATGAGAAAATGGAAAAATAATCCTTCGTTTGCATCATTCTTTGTATTATCCCAAATTAAAGGATTACAACCACGCAGAATTTTTCCTGTTCCTTTAACTCTTATAATAACCACTGTATCAGCGTGACCATGACACATGCTCGCAAAATCTGCAGAAATTTATGTGAATAATTTTTGAAGAATAAATAATAGTTTTAGATTCAGTGTATTGCTAAAGTTCACCAGTGAGCTTTAGAAATTTTCTTAGTCAACCCAGGAGGAAATTCTACTGCATGATCAGAAATAATGGTTGAAAAAGATCTTAATCTTCCTGGTAAAATAACTGTTTCCACTGTTCTGTTGGAAGATAAGACTAAGAGAATTTGTAATTGAATCCTTATTAGTAAAATTGAACGATATACGAAAGAAAAGTGTGTTTTTAGCCAGGAAACTTTGTCCTTGGTGAGAACAGTTTCTAGTTTCTTTGATAATTCTTCAATTTCAAATTTTTAGCTGCTAATATCAAGTCAAAAATAATTTTTGTCTCACTATTTTCCAAATTAACAATACTGCCATAAATATATGCATACACTTAAATAATAATGATTAATTGGTTAAATTACAATATCAATTTTAATTTTTCATTAATTGCAACTTACTTAAGAATAATATCAAAAAATTCAAGCAGAAATGTCTGTTTTAATGGTTAATTTGATATATGTATTTTCATTATCTAATTCTCTAAGGAATATTGTGACCGACATTTTAATACGTTAGATTGTGCAGTAAGTCTTTCTTAACTTCAAATTCATTGATTATATTGTAAGCATCTTTATTATTAAGAAGTTCAATAAAGTTTTGAGATAACCTGGTTAAAGACATTTTATATACGAAAAATAAATTTACTAATTATGAAAATAATCACGTGTTGAGTAGATTATAAAAGACATTTCAAAAATATGTGTGTCTCACCTATAAACCATAAATTTTTCCACCCCCACACATGGTTAGGCATGGGTTAGGGGGTTTGTCAGTGAAAGTGTATTTATCACTGTGTGTCACACCGTTCGAATATCAATTTTTTATTAAATATCCTGGTGGCGAAATCATTTTGTCTGATCACCTGTTTTGATTATGGACGACGAATTCACAATATATATAATTCATATGATTTAAAAGGTTATAACTCTTACCTGAAAAAAAAATTCATAAAAATAAACTGATAAAAATAATCTATGGATTCTAAATTTCAATTTTATCGGTTATTTTTTATTTTTAAAAAAATTTAATTTATAAATTTGTATTTTTATATAATCTATTAATAAAATTATATTTCGGAATATTAAAAAAATAAATCATTATTTAATGTACTTGATTAAATTATTATCTCAAAAAAATAAAATTAAAGAATCAGAACATTGAAAATTTGTAAAAAAAAAAATGCAATAATGATGAATGGTGTAGTGATGAAGAGTGGGGATAGCAGTTGGGATGAAGAAATTGATTTAATAAATAAAGACTCGATTTTTGAAAAAATCAAAATAACCTTAATGAATCAAAGCTTTATTTACTGGAAAAACGATAGCTTAACATTTTATGATAAATATGAACCAAGTGGTCTATTCATGAAAACAGAAAATGGAACAGTGAAATAGAATTGGAAAAATATGCTGCGAATAACATTTTGTATCCAGAATATGTAATAAATGAAATAAAATAATTCTAAATAAAATATAAAAAATTGCAATTTATAATTAGCTTTCAAAAATCATATGACTAATAACCATGAAATTTCGATACACACCATAGCAACATGAGAAATGATGAAAACCTGAGAAAACCTTGTCAAATAAAAATATCACTATGATTAGTTTAATATTGGGATTAATAGTTACCGTTTCAAGCAATTCAATTAGATAAAAAAAAAACGATACAAGTTTCGTTAGAAGTATAGAAATAACAGATAGTATAGTGGAAAATAGGAAATACTCTATTATTAATGCGAAATAAATATTAGTTAGGAAAAATCCCTTTGTAGATTTCTCAAAACTTTATTATTAACTCTCTTTTATTAATGATAAAAAAATAAAATTTTTTATCGAATTTAACAATAAGGAAAGTAGTGCTTATACTATTTACGCGTTGTATCTGTGCTAGTAATAATTAGAAAAACAAATAATTTAGATAATAATTAATTAATTATAATAGCTTTTAGATCCAGATGGTAGTCCTAAAGATCGGTAGCTCTCAATATAATAAAAAAAGAAGAAAAGGGATTAATAAATCCAAATATAGAATACAATATTTGAGGTACAACCAGAATGTCAATAGCGATAGAATCTTGAGCTAATGGATATAATGCATGGATTATTGTTCCTGATGATCAAGCCGAAGAGAAATATCAGTTATTATAAAAATTAGGCGCAGTAAAGAAAAGTACGACCGTTAGGAACTATTCAATATGTTAATTTAGCTCAGTGTTGTGCACAAGAATTTGGAAAAATGAAGAAAAAATTTTAAATGATGATAATAATAATGATAGTGCGATAATAATGATGATTATGATGCACAAACCCATATTACAATAAAAAAAAATAAAATTTCATTTTATCATATATTTTATTAATGATATTTATACCACAGGATTTTTACGCAATCTTGAACCTCTTATTCTAAATCTTGAAATTTATCTTGTTGATTCATTTTGTTCCGGATTATATAATCAAGTAAAATAATATTATATATGTAATAATGATTATTATTATCGTTTCTTAAATTTTCGTTTATTTTATTTTTTGATTTTAACTTTCAAAACGTCATTTAATTTTAATTTCAGAATTTATTATGCATTGCATGAATTATTATGTACAGTATATCAGATAAGATTATAGATAGTTAGAAATAATATGTCCATTTACAAAGTGATAAATGAATTTTGTATATTAATGAAATTAAATAATTGATTTCCTGTTTATATTCCTTTCATTATAACAATAAATTCAATCTTTATATTAATTATTATATACTTTTTTATATAATAATATCATTGAATTTCCTAAAGATGAGATATAAATTTTATTTTTTTGAAACAACAATTTTTTTTATACAAATCTAAATTTTCATAATTATAATATTTTGAAATTTATTTTCCCAACACCATTAATAAAAATATTTTTTACAATATTTACATTTTGTATATTTTTTTTTATAATTTGGATATTAGGTTTCTCGAGCACAAGTTGTTTCAATATTTTTAATATTATTTAACATATTTGTTTGTTGCTATAATATAAATAGATTATCAAATATCAAGCCAAGTAATCGATCAGTGAAAATTAGATACCAATGATTGATTATCGGATATTTAATAATTTCGCTAACAATATTTATAAAACGAAATTTCATACTATATATCAGTCTTGGTCTTTTCAGGTTATAATTACAATTGCTTGGTAGGTCATAATAGGTCATAGGCCAGCACTGTTATATTATGTTATTGATTTGTTAAAAGATTTAAATCTGACGATTTTATCAAGCGATTGTTTTTTAAAACGATCAATTGTAAGTATAATTAATTGAGAATAATAATTCAAGTATATAAGTGACCGATGCTAACATTATGTATTAGACTTTATTAAAAAATACCTCCCATTTATATGGATCCAACGAATTGTTACTGTTATATTAGTATTCCTTTTAATTACTTTCTTATAGTATTTGATTATGAAAATTGTTAATGAAGAGTTTAGTATCAAAATATCTTATAATAATGAAAAATAATTCTTTGAATTTAAATTCTAAAAAAAAAAATGACATGTTTTTTTTTTCTAATATCGAAATCACAATCAATATAGATTTCTATTTTAATTTTTATAGAAACTTTACTATAAAATGTTTATATTTTGGATGTAAGGAATTTTAATTATTTTATAAATTGATTTATTATTCTGTTTTATGTCTATCTAATCCAAAGTATTTCAAGAATTAAAAATTGCTATTTTTTTGACGATTAACAATACAATGATTCAAAAAGATATTTTTTTTTAAACGACTAATGCAGTCTTGTCTTTATTCATATGATAAAATAAGGTAACGGTTTTAACCCAATTATAAAAAACTACAAATTTGAGAATAAAAACTGACAAGGATTATTTCTAATCTGCAACTTAACTGTCCACTATAAAATGTAAAACATTTTACCAAACCAAGATCGATTCGAGTCTAAGCAAAAAACTTTTATTTCATTCTCCCTAATCCCTTCTTGTCTTAGGAACAAAAAAAAAAAAATTTAAACCCCATTCTATATTATTGGCTTGAGTTTCATATCTTTTTAATTTCTAAGAGTGGCTTTTCATTGCGGACCTTCCCTTCAAAAAGCTATGGCCATTAATTATTTACAAAAGGGACAAATCCTTTTGAACGCTTCTGAATCTGATTAGTTATCGTTTCTTATTTTTTATCAATAATAGCAAATATGATCCCTTAAATAAATCTATTCTATGAGAGCATTTGATTCAGGTATTTTTATGAAATTGTGACATTTTGTATCTTTTATAATATCATTTCTTACCCTACTAGGTTTAATATGAAAAATATAACTACATTGGATCTGATATACGTATAATGATTTTTTTAATTATTACGCATTAGTAATATTGTTAATGCTGAATCGAACATATGGGTCCAAGTAGGGATTACTTAAGGTTGGCAATTGACCTAAAAATTTCTTTTATAGAATTGGGAAAGGAATAAAGGTAAAAAGCTCGCCTAAAGCGGAGTGAATCCATATTGTTATTGTTTATAAAGTTCTGAAACCCAAATTTATTAACAAATTTGGCAACAAGATATTTAAAAATTGGCGTATACCGTAAGAACCATTATTTTTAATTGTTTTGAAAATTTATAACATACAACTAGTGATTATTATTTCTGGATAAATAGATCACAGAAGTGTTAGCAAATATACTGCTCTTTATATTTATTCACCTTTTTTTTTACAAACGAATTAAATCATTGCATTGTATTTATAATTTACTTGCTCATTTTTAGGAGTAACAACAAGCAGATCACTTCAAGGGAGAGAAATATGTGTCTATCGCGGATTCTTCCGTCTATTAAAAATAAATCCAGAAAAAAATTGTAAAACCGGAAGAAATTATTTTAATTATGGACGATATATGATTTATTATAAATTAATATTTTAAATTTATAATTGATTCTATATAATATATTTTCAAATAAATTTTCAGATTAATATTTTACCTCTTTTAGGAAATCTTCATTTTATCTGCAAACCTTTTCCATTGTTTATTTTTAATATCTCAACCATAAATAGGTCCATCAAAACTACCCTTTGCAATTTTGTTTTTATTAATATCTTGAAATTTATCATTAGTTACCTATTCTAGTATTTTAGAATAATTCGAGAATCTTGAATAAATTAGTCTATTATATTATTTCCGCTTGTCCATTATCAAAATCATTACTGCATTAAAAAGTAGTACATCCTTTGATTGGCCTAACCTATAGTATGTAAGGTGCATCTTAATTTACGTTTAGATAAAATTACTTTGATATGCCAAAATATCATACCGAATATTTGGATAACATCATTCATTGTATATAATGTTAGAAATAATGAAAAATCTGATTATTTACACTTTCGGGTTCTATGATTATTTATTATTCTGAGATCTGCTGCATATGAGGGTACTTGTGAAGAGAAAATTATAAATTTATTCAATATAAATGTTAATAATATAAATAAAAATAATGATACATTAATAATTAATTCGATAACAGTGGTAATAACTATAGCTTGTTTAAGATGAACCTCATTTTAAGTATTCCGGGTCATTATATATAACACAACTCTCAATGAATTTATTCTTGCGAGTTACTAAAAGTATAATTAGTCCTGTAAATATTACTGTAGAGATTATTACCATTAAGCAATGACCCGTGAAAGAACAGTACTACGGTTTATATTTTATACAGCATATGTACAACTGTAAGTTAAAATCTATAGCTTCTATAAAGAAAATTAGTTTTTCGCAAAGTTGATTGATATTGTTAGAAGTTTTTTTTTTAATTATTTATTATTGATTTTTTTTTTAAGTCTTTCTTATCATATTTTATTATTTATTGTTATTTATTTATTCATTATTTATTGTTACCTAGTAG